GGCGAGGGAAAAAGGTGATGCAGAATAACCTGCCCTGGGCACCCATCAGCCTTCTTCAGCTTCATTCTGCCCCTTGCTGCAGCGCAGCATCCCCCTTTAGGCACTAAGCTCTGGTGGGCTACGCTGTGAAGCTCAGCTTTTTAGGGCCCTTCGAGCACCCGTGGTGCAGGAGCAGCAGCCACTGCAGAGACAGAAACAGCTGGCGCCAGGAGCTGGCAGCCTCGCTCTTAACATCTCAGAGGGTTTTTTCCTCCGGACTCATTTCAGTTGGGCCACATAGTCTGAAAGTCCATCAGGACCTGGAACTCATATAGGTGTGCTACTCATTTCGTTTCATCCTAAAAATCCAGTTCATGGGCTTAAAGACAGCTCTGCGATATGAAGAATAGCACAGTGAGTGGCAGCAGGCAGGAGCCTGGCTTTGAAAGCACATTCCTGATAAAATGAAAACACTAACGCAGAAGCACCTCTAGCTCCTTAGAGAGAGAGACATGCACACAGAGGCATGCCCCTCCAGAGACCCTAAGCTCGTCTTGTATTTCCCTTTTGAAAGCCTCAAGTCCTACCTTAGGCATCTAAGACAGGTACTTAAATTTCAGGAGTTTGAGTGAGTCTCTCATGTTTCCCATCATGCAGAACTGGTCAGAGGTGTGAGTCCAAAGTACAGACTCATAATTGCCAGAGGTCGAATATTTTAAAATCAGCTTAAACTTTTTTTCAGACACTACACTTTTTCAGAGACCAGGCCCTGTAAGGAAATAGAAGGTGCAATACAAGGATCAGTGTTTAATATTAATAAAATTACATTTTCCAAAAGGTTCATTGGAATTGCCATACCAGAACAAAAACTGGCTTTCTTTTTGGCATAGAGGAATACTCGAGGATACTTAGACAATATGTAGCAAAGCTGCTGAATTTCTAAGGGCAGCAACTGTACATTCACAAGATCTTCAGCCTTTTTAAAATTTTTTTTGATGTAAAAAACATCTTAAGGCATTGAATAAACCAAATCACATTTAAAGTAATAGATTGCAGTATTGACAACTACCTACTTGTGTTTAACTGTCCACTTTGAGGTGTTCTGATAAAGTCTAAGTGCACAAAGTAAATAAATATATTTTTGTGGAATCCAGGGCTAATATGGAAAATAATATTTTTCGTGATTCTCATCTCAAAGCATATTGATACTGTGTATTATTGGTTTGCATTCTTATGAATTCTAGTTTGAATAGACAAAACTTCAAATTACTGGTTTTGAAAAATAATCCCTTACAACTATTTTGTCTCCACAAACTTCTTTCTGCCCTTGATTAACAAAATAAAATGGACGTCATTTAAAAATATGCTGATTTTTATTTCAAAGGTGCCTTCATGCTACTGGAATGGAAAGCTCTTCTGAAAGTCTAGAACTGTATTTTTAAACAGATGTAGGAAATGAAATTTATTCACTGATGAAATCCAGAATAACATGTATTCAAATCAGTAACACTTTCATAATAAAATTACGCTAACACTATAACCTAGCATATGGTTAGTTCTGTGAAGGTCAGATCATCTAAAATTTTCATCAGAAAGCAAATCAAATCAAACCAAATATAATTAGTTATAATTAAAGAGTACATATTTTTGCTATACTATATAACATCACCTCAATAGGCACAGTATTAAAAAGGATTTTTTTTTTAAACTTATTTAGAAATATCATGGCATAAAGAGAACAAATTATATTTTATGTTATGCATTGGTTGGTTTGCTCTTTTTTGTTAAAAAAAATTTGCTTTCATTTGCATACAGATTTTTAGCAAAAGCTGATATTCATTATAATTGTGTTTTTTCATTGTCACTGGGCTGTGTTGACTTAGAAAATGCCTGCATTCATTATATGTTACATGTCAAATGAGAGGCTGCAACATAAAGCCTGTTTTTTGACATACGTGTATGAAGTTCACTATGCTTTAAATGGGAATCTCCTGCAAGTATTTAAATGAAAAATATAGCCATTTAATATGTTTGTAAATTATATTTTGCTATTTCAGGATTAGCTATAGCACAGAGTTTAAAAATTTCCCTGTTTGGTTCAAGACTGAATTTCCAACCAGCTTGCTCTGAAAGAGCAAGCCTGGATGCAGTCACCTCTGAATATTCTGTGAGGTCAGTGCACAAACCCTGCTACATTTACAAACCAACACTGACCTGCAGTCAAGGCTACAACATTTTATATTCTCACAACATGGCTTTTATCTTCTTGAAAATAAAAGTATTGATTAAACCCCACCAGTTCAGGTCTTTGAAATATAGGAGTTTAGAAAAACAAAAAAAATCAGTTTACAGGCTAATGTTTGTCTCTTAAATGTTGTGCATTCAATGCCCAGTTACCAAAGTCTCATTGATGAATACAGCAGTTCTACAAACTGAATACTTGACAGAGATCTTTAGGATACTGGTGGAGTCCCAAAAGTTCATGTCATTAGCTCAGTGCTGCACAAGCAGCAATTTTTCGGGGCGGGGGGGCTTTCATATCATGGAATCCCTTAATCTACAGCAGTTTGCAATGACATACTTTCTGCTGGTTTGGGTAAATGTTATGTTCATTTAAGAACATTAGACAATGTTCCTTAAACAACTCTCAGTTTCAGTGGTACAACTGTGCACATAACATGAACGGTTGCAGGGAAAACATTCAACTGGCAGCTGATTAGTTTTAGATTCTGCTATTACCAGCAGAGCATTTACTGAGGTGTTAGCACATGCCAGCACTGTGATAGCTGAATGCCACCGCAATGCACTAAAAGGAAGGAGATGATTCAGGAGCACAGAGGAGAACTGTCATTAACAGATATCGAGCTTCTGTTTTCAGCATTGTCAGTGCTTTGTCAAAATTTGTTTCCAGTATATGCTTTCCTGACAAGGACAGTGCCTGAGTTACCGTCGTTGAACCCCTTAGACTGTTATAGCTTTGGATTCAAAATATCTGGGGTTTGTACTCCCCCAGGAACAAACTCAAGATCCCACGGACAGCCACGGTAGTTTTGTGTGTCGTTCAGAGACCAGGATGTGACCCCCTTATTCAGGGATAATTCATATAAACAAACACTCAATGATGACTATGAAAATGTTGGATTTTGATGACACTTAAAGCATTTAATAGCTGGATTAGAACATCATTCCATTGTATTTAGCATGGAAAATAAACATGTAACCCTTGGAGGTGTACTAATAAGAAGTAAGAATGTACTGAAAGTCATTTGAAAGTGATAAAAGAGTCCCTAGAAAATATATTTTCAGATTATTTGGAACCAGTATCAAGTGAGATAAGCTATACTTCAAGGCAGGGATACTCTCACACACATAAATCCAAATACTTCTAATGCAAAGCAAAAAAACAGGGACATTATTTGCCCCTACAGTTCATTCATCTTTTGTCCCTGCCTTGCATTTTGAATTGTTCCCATTTTGAAAAAGCTTTCCTCTGGCTTCACTTTTGAAGTTTTAATTATCTTAATATGTAGAAGGGGATGTGACAGAATTTGTCTTTCTGCTAAACAAGGCAGATGGTGTCCACAACCCTTATGTGCTATGTGTTTTTATAACAAGTCTCAGTGGAAAAAAAAGAAAAAAGGAAGTTTTGATTTCAATATAATAAACAGAAACCCCACAAAGTACTATTTAAAACATTATGCACACACTGTAGCTGCACTACTTGTTCTTTCTGCAGTTTTTTTAGGTTCTCTTATCACATCTGGCAAAAAAAAATCCCTCACCTTTTCTGTTGTTTCAGCTATATCCCACAGATGCTCCCACCATTTCCCACATTCACTGATGTATGTAATAGCACAAAACTAAATTATTTTGTAAAATGATATTTAAATAAAGTAATTAATTTAAAATTTACAGCTCTTTCAGATTTCATCATTAAATGGTACTTTGGAACCAGTATGTGGTCCAGAGTGATGTAATATTCTTAACATACAAAGACATTATGCATTCTGTCATTTATTCTTTACAGGTTATTTAATTTATTCCTGCCTTTTACTAACAATATATTAAAAAAAGAAATTATTAAGAATTCAAAGGGTAGACTCATTTTTCAAGCATAATGTAGAATGTCTATTTTGCTGAGAGCCTGAGTGGAACAGAGGTTCTACTTATGAAGTGAAATCAAGGTTATACAAGGAAACAATGTATTAGGCAGATTGTCTCCGAAACAAATTCAACAGCTAAGTCTTGTGAACAAAGACTATTAGATTTACAGAATTTAATTCTTGCCAAAAAAAAGGAAGTAAATAGCAGATATGACATTTTACACACTTGCACTTAATTTGTAATAAAATTCATTTCATATCACATTATTTTTACTTGAAGAAGAGGGACTTCCTCATGGAAAGGTGTTTTGCTTTTTGTGGCTTTGTTTGTTGGGGGTTTTTTTTTTTTTATAATGTATCAGTCTAATATGGCTATATCTCTGTTGTTGCTATTGTTAGACTAAAAGAACAAAATAGAAGAGGCAGCATGACTCCCTGTATGGACACATGTATGGATCCTACAACAATGCTTAAAGTGCTTCCTTATTTGAGGAGATACTTACACAAATGCCATTTCATGCTTATCTCCTTGTCACCATGTACTTACCATATGCTTGTTGCTTGCTCTTATGTCATTTATAACATAATGATAGGGTACTAAGTTCATACTCAGATTTTAGTATATGTCATAAAAAACATCTGAAAACAGGAAAATGACAATTCTATTTGTGTATTATTACAGCAATTTGAAAATTTTATTAAATACTGAAGTGCTTCATTTCATCATTTATTCCTTTGCTTCCAGTGTTGCTTAAAGCACTATTTAAGTACAAATAGATCATACTAAAAGCATATCCATCCTATTCTGGGGTTTCAACTAGGATTATTTACTGATGTCTTGCAGAACAGAGATGAATTTATGATCCCACGTGACCATTTATCTGCTGATGCTGCAAGATGTCTTGCCTCCAGGATTGGTTTCCACGTACGTGGTTCACCAAAGGTCTACATCTTATGAATATTTATACATTGTTACGTCTTGTTGTTAAGTGGCAGTGCTGTAATGTGAGATGTCAAGTGGTATACTTTAATTTGCCAGTACCAGAAGTTGTGGGAGCAGCAGAAGCTGTGGCTTGACTGCCTACATACAAAGGGTCCAAACAAGCCACTTTGGCTGCAAAGAATGAGTGGATACAGTGAAGGACTGCAAACAGGTTGGAAAACTCCAGCTCCTGGAAGTGAAAACAAAAAGATTAAACATGAAACAAAAGAACACCTAACAAACATATACCCAGGAATGAAACGCTATTCAAATAGCAATAATTTTAATAGTTTGATGTAATTCTGCTAATGTGCCTGACAATTCTCCGTTATAGGGACTTAGACATTGAGCTATCCCCATTCAGTAAATAATTGTTTAGAGGCTAAGACAGACAAATTTCTTAGTTAAGTGCCTCCATAGAAATATGAGATCCTACCAGCTAAAGTGGAAGGAAAGTGACACTATATGATTTATTTTTTCCCTCAGGTTAATACAAATCTGGCACTTTTGCAGGTTAATTTAGATAGAAATTGAATGACTGGACTGTAACAGTCTACACATCTCTGGACTACTACTGTATATGCAATGTACCCACAAAGATCAATAATGCTGAGTTCCACATATGTTACATTTGTTCATCACATCACCTCACACTGGTAGCTATTATCTTACCTATGCTGATTTTAACAGAAAATAAAAAAAAAGGCATTTTCAAAAAGTGCTATTATCACACAGTGATATTCTGGATCTGTTTTCATTGAGAGGGTTACTGTTATTGGACCAAAAAAAGAAGGAACAGACTCCATGTTTTAAACTTATTAGCAACCTTGGGAGAAGGGCAATTTTATCACTATGCCAAAAGTATTTTTCCTTCCTCAAATTTCAAAATAAGAAAATTTATCACAGATAGGAAAACAATGGAAATTCAAAGATGAGGAAACAAGGAATTATGGAAGCTATTTCAGAATAAGAACTATCAGTCATTCAAATTAAGTTACTTTTCAGTGAACTCCTTTTTATTAATATAACATTATTTATCCTTCTGGTACTACAAAAATAAACCTAAAACTTAAGATGAGAGAATAAATATTTAGTGGAACAGTGCAATAATTATAATTTCAATTCTGTGTGTTATCTGCAGAAAGACTCCATTTCCCCTTATGTCTCAACAGGATAAGCCTATTAAAACAAATGTTACAGTTTGAGAACTGTTCGAGTCAATTAGGTAACCCTACTAGCTGCAAGTTCTTACTACCATAATTACAGCTGCTGGACAGTGAATTTTCACAGTGCATTAGTACAATTATTACCAACAGTTATCACAGGTATTTCTGCAACAGTAACACATTGGGAAGATCCATTGCTCAATGGACCTTCAAGGATAATGGTGAAGCAACAGAACAGCCTCTGAAGGTCCCACTGGATTACTATTATTGGTAGTAATGACTCAACGCGAAAATTACTCCACTGCAAAGATGAGCACTAAGAAGTTAGCAAATGCTAGATTATTATTTGCCATGAAACATTATTCCTATTTCAATGTAGACATGCATATTTAACTGGAAATTAAAGCAGTGTGAAGCACAGTAGGCTGACTGGTATGTGGTGAGTACATACAGGCCTGATTAATGGCTGCAGCTCAGTTCACAGCAGCCTGACTGATGGGTATGGGATCGATCAAGAACAACACTTTTCTGGCAGATTAGCCTAATCACAAGAAAGCTTAATGAACAGGTAAGACTTCATGTAGAGCTGCCGACAGACAAAACATTTCCTCACTTCTGCTGAGAACTTGCACTTTTAGCTGCCCATGGGTTTGCACTACTGCCAGCAGATGGAGGGGAATCCACAAGCTTTTGTGCACCCCTGGCCACCCTGGCTGTTTTTGTATGTACCTTGTCATCAGTCATCCTCTTGTCTGAATACACTTTCATCTAGGCAGGGTATTGTGTATTGCACACCCAGCTTCGGATTAAGTTTCAAATAAACAAACAGACAAACCCTAAGAACCCTGAAGTATTCAGTGAAGCCATTAAAGTTGCTGGCAGTAGGGAAAAGCAAATGCTCTGAATCCCCCAAAAGCGAAGAAATCCCAACTTAAGCCACATCTACTTGTCCATGAACAAGTACACGATCTACTATTATTCCAATTTCCAGACTGTTGTCTGTACACCTCACCTAAGACCCTACTCTCCTAGGAATATCAGTGTACCTTCTGGTCTTCAAATTGTCTTTCTAAGGTCTCTCTTGATCAAACTACTCTCACCCTACATTGCTGTCATTATACCAGACATTCCCAGATTTTTAATCTGAACATTCACAGTTTCTGCTGAGGACAATGTAAGTGGGCAGAAAGGTATATGAGAAAGATGCATTCATTGAGCACGGCCAGAAGTGTATGGGAATTCTAGTAACCTTTCACAAAGAAAGTCTGGATTGAAAGGACAGAGCTGGAAAGAGAAAACAGAAAGAGAGTGCCCCCAGATGAAAAAAAACCCACAAGTCTTACTGCATTATATTAAAGATACAACTACACAAACAATACATCTACAAAATCAAGCAATGATAAGTTTGTAGGTATTCATGATATGGTTAGGAAAAAATCCTTTCTTTCATCCAAATATAAAGTGCTGATATGAGAAGAGATTTATTCTTTCATCAAATGTGGTGTTACATGGTATCTCTATATTAGCATAGAATCTGATCTAAAATAGATATTAAACAGATAATCCATGTTCAAGACATGGGGAAACTAAAAATTGAATCACACAAACCTACACAGGTCAGAAATCTGAACTCAGAATGCAGTGACTGCAAATGAGCAATCACTCTGTAAAAATCCTAAGGACGTATATTAAAAACCCATTTAAAGATGATATTCAAAATTTGAAGAGTGCTGTAATGCTCACAGAAAAATCCTCAAGGCTAAGAACAAGGATTAATTTAAAATTATATTTTGGAGAATATACTTCAAATGAGCAGAAATGTCAGTCTGGAAAATGGTGCAGGCATCCATCAAGACACCTTGCAACACTTTGAAAGTGAGCATTTTGTTCACATTACAATAGCAGTAACTCAGGCTATTCGTCTTACTTTAGATTAGATTTCTATACAAGATAATTTCAAGTACAAATTAATTGGCATTAATTACTATTAAAGTAGTATTAATTAATAATTATTCATGCTAAATCCTTGAAGTTACACTTCTTCCTTTGCTGAGACCATATTTCCGCCCTCTTCTGTTCACCATATTCAAATAGGCAAAGACAATTGACTCGATCTTCATACTGATGTGCTGATTTTTGTATTCACTTCCATTTTGTAACACTCAGCTTAGGGATTCAGCTAGTCTGTGAACAAAAGCTCACATGATGCAGCACAACTGTGTGACCTCACCTGAGTTTTTCTGACGAAACTGTTGAGCTGTGAAAAAGCCCTGCAAATTCAGAAAGGTGAAGGCACAGACCAAAGGGTAGCTTTTGACTTATATTTATGTTTTACAAGGCACAGAAACTCTCAGTTCTCAGAAATTACTGATTGGTGCTTTCACTTACAAAATTCAAATGGAAATACAGCATTGATGCTGATTTTTATATCCATTACATACTTCTATGTTTGGGAGCATATATATACATAGTGAAACAGGATCTCTCATAGATTTAAGATACTCTTCATTTTTCTCAGAAAAATATAAAGCAGTTTCTATTTTGATGGCCCAATACTTAGCCAGGTACAACTGAAGAGCACAGCACTCTGTGTTTATCACAGTCCTGAGACTGTTAGCCACTGGAAGGTGCTGTGATACTGAAGAGACACTAATGGGTCATTAAATTATAGCTAAACAAATAGGTAACTAGATAGGAAAGTGCCTAAGTGAATCCCTTTGTGTGTTACAGATAAGGAGAAAGCTTTGCCCTTTGCTTGTTTTTTTCAACCCAACCCCAACAGCTCAGGAAGAACAAAGGAAAGGGACACATAGGCTCCATGTTCTGCCAAGCTGACGGCTCTATTTTCTAGCCCTCCGTCAGAAAAATTCTGTCTGACTGTGCAAACTTGTGCAATATCTCCTGCTGAGTGACAGCTGGGAAATAACCTACAGATTGGAATGTCTAAGGGGTATCAGTGATTAATGTTGCCCCTAAGTGGTTTTCTTCTGAGAAACCGCTTAGACCTTGCCTTAGAAACCTTCAGAGTTAGGTGTTTGCATCCAGGCACCCTGCCATGGACCCACTGGTGTGACCTATGGTAATTACTGTTCAGATTTTTCAGACTGGAATTGCTTAAACCTATAAGGAAACACTTCTTTTATACTACATTATCTATCTTTATAGTAACATGATATTACTTACAAAGGAGTCAAAAAAAAGCATCACTACAAAGTCTGTACAGAAAAAAGAGAGAATATCTGTGAGAATAATGCAAGTGTTTAAATATCTTAAATTATTTTCAAGCTGAAAAGAACTATACCTGGTTAAACTGTAACTAAATCCATAGCACATGTTCTGTGTCTTAAAGCTTGCCATTTTGAATTTTAAGTCAGGCATGAAGCACACTGTAAAAAGTTTTGACATCATTATAAAAATATTAGTTATTCAGTGTCAGTGAAGGACTTTCTATCACTTAGGAATATAACTCTGGTGACAAGTGAGTTTCTCAAAAAAAAAAAAAGCTGACTGATGAATGGATGTGGTTCTGCATTTTTTCTCAAAAAGTATTTTTCCTAGATTCTTCTAACATTAACAGTGATATCTCTGTATATTCCACCAGAATACAGAGGGGATGCTGGACGATTATGAAGACAGTATGGCTAAAATTTAAAATGCTGCTGCATAATTTTTTTTTTTCCAAGCAATGTCCATCTACAAGTCTGAATGTGTTTCTAGAATAATAACAAATTTATTTAAACTTTGGATCAAAATTCAACAGCTAAGCACTCTGACAGTCTTAATTCTCTAGGTAATGAATAAGTGTTCTAAAGCAAAAGAATATTATCGCACAGATACAACATGCCATACTCACACACGTGTGATAGCATGAGATACACAAAATTTGCAGCATTGTAAACGAAGGAAGGCAGGAAGCATTTGGATTTTGATAACTCATTTTTACAGGAAGGAATTATATAGAATCATAGAATTATTTGGGCTGGAAAAGATCTTTAAGATCATCCCGTCCAAGTGTTAACCTAACACTGCCACGTCCACCACTAAACCATGTCCCTAAGCACCACGTCTATACGGCTTCTAAATACCTCCAGGGATGGTGACTTAACCACTTCCCTGGGCAGCATGTTCCAATGCTTGACAACCATTTGGTGAAGAAATTTTTCCTAACATCTGATCTAAGCCTCCCCTGGCACAACTTGAGGCCATTTCCTCTCATCCTACCACTAGTTATTTGGGAGAAGAGACCGACACCCACCTCGCTCCAACCTCCTCTCAGGTAGTTGTAGAGAGCTATAACGTCTCCCCTCAGCCTCCTTTTCTCCAGGTCAAACAGCCCCAGTTCCTTCAGCTGCTCCTCATAAGACTTGTGCTCTAGACCCTTCACCAACTTGGTTGCCCTTCTCTGGACACGCTCCAGCACCTCAATGTCTTTCCTGTAGTGAGGGGCCCAAAACTGAACACAGGACTCGAGGTGCGGCCTCACCAGTGCCAAGTACAGGGGGACAACCACTTCCCAAGTCCTGCTGGCCACGCTGTTTCTGATACAGGCCAGGATACCGTTGGCCTTCTTGGCCACCTGGGCACACTGCCAGCTCATATTCAGCTGGCTGTAGACCATGATGAAAGCAATATTATTTAAAAAAAAAAAATCAACAACAACAAAAAAACCCCTATGGCCAGACCACCTCACATTTGCAGGGAGTAACTGAATTATAATGCATTAAATACGTTAACACATTCTGTCAGTGCTGCAGCTGAAACTTAGAGATGGAGGAAAACAGACGTTAGAGGCAAGAAAAGCAGGAGTCTCAGATCAGGTATGCATACGCCACAGCAGGTTCTGCATAGAGTGTGTTAGTGTATGTGATGGAGGGGAAAAAGCACTCTTAGTTCTAGTGACTGTCTTAAGCTGTATCAAAGTTACCTGCCATGTCCTGCTTCCACATTACTGCTTGAGAATGCAGAAGTGAAGAGCCCTAACATGTCAGGGCAATGGGTTTGTCAGATTTTTGGGGTTGTTCTCAGCTGTGAGCTCTCATTTCACTATATTCTGATTATTCCCTGTGTAATATAACTGACAAAAAATTATCTTTACGTAAAGAAAATGTTACACTGTATTTCCCCTTACAACAGTGGGTGTCCAGGCCATCTGAAGCACAGAGCTGCATGTAACAAGTGATGATAGCTGTGGCCATGAATATTCATCACAACCTTTAACAGATGTTTTACAAAATTCCCATCATCTGATTCCAAATGAAGCCTGCATACAGTATGCATGAAACCTGGCATTACAAGCATTTCTGAAAATCTGATTAACATTTCCTAATTACTCAAGAGTTCCCCAAATGGCTATACCTCTAACTCTGTAATGTTAGTAAAGTCCAAAAAATAGAACCTAGATTATTCTACCTCTTCTCACACTGAATAGTGGTTTAAATCCATAAAAGGCTTAAAGGATACGGAAGGGACCTATCCATAGAATTTTAAACTAACCAAAGTTGAAAAAATATGACCCAAGAATCTTCACATTCATTTTATAGCCACATTTATCTATGTTTCTTAAACTAAACAACGTACTTCATATGTAAACAAATTGGAATGGATAGAAGTGCTCACTATAAATGCCGTCACACCTTCCAAAGACAATATAATCTGACATTTTTTGATCATGATATAATTGGTATGCTTTGATCACCAAGGAAATTAATTAAAAATAACAGATTTTTATTTCCAGATTGATCGATGTGAAAATTTTTATTTATAATAAAGAGAAGAAACCAGGGAACATGGCAGCATATTTATAAGTATGCTAGCAACTTTGTATAATATTCTGCCTTCATAAGATAGAAGGTAGAATTTCTACATTGATAAAAGGTAGAAAGATGAAATTTCCTAGAAATAAAGCTTTATTCAGTTTGAGTGGGAATAACAGTAGGTATGATAAAAACACCTATTAGGATATCTCTAAGGCTTATAAAGTGATTTGCATGACAGATTTAATTTAAAACATGAAAACATTTTGATGAAAACTATTTTTCTTCTTCAAAATCTGTATTTCATACTTTGTTTTTATTTTTTAAATTTAATTTAATATTTAAAATTTATTATATTTTTACTAAAAAAAAAAGAAACACTGTCCCATTCTTGGATTCCCATGAAATTTCTTTAGTCCTAAAATCATGTGTTAATATAACAGCAATAGCAGTCAGACGTTAGAAAAATAATGACGAGTTTCATCCTTCAGGTGTCCTTAGGAGCATGATAAAAGTTTCCAATTACTTGCTTAAGAGAGAATCATCCTCACAACATTAGGTTGTTAAGTTATGACTTCTTATTAGAGATGAATAGAAATTCTGTACTATTAAAACAATTTCTAAAGGAAATTGGAAGTAAGAAAATATTTATCTTCGAGATGTAGCAGAACATGAAGGTATTGAAAGCCACGGTGCACCACATTTCATTACTGTTGATGTAATGGGAGCTTTTACATACCTTTATTGTATTGAGTACAGCATTCAAAATCAAGTAAATAGCTGTTAGGTAGAAAATAATTAATACCAAACATAAAGTGACATGCAGGAAGGAAAACCAGCTGCTTAATGTAGCTATTTGCATTTAAACTCACAACTGCCCCCAAGACAATGCCTTTTTTCTTTACATACTTTATTATGCTGTGCATATTTAGCCCTTTTAGGCAACAATTTATTTAACCGCTTCCTTTTTGCTTATGGAACTATATTGTTATCACATTCATTCAGCAGTTTTCTCTGGGACACAGGAAAAATGGTATAGCAAATGCTTCAAAAGCAAGGCTTAAAGATCGCCAAGAAAGTAGTCTTTAGGTTTACACAAAAATTGGGATTCTAGTCAAAAAGACCTTTGATTCAGACTCTAAGGCAGTTCCAGTTATCAAAGATCCTGGGAGATCACTTCTCCTCACACACACTGGGACAGTAAATGCTCTATTCTCAGAAGACATAAATCAAACTAAGCATAAATCTCTCAGGGTTACTGTTTTCATAAATTAACTCTTGAAACAAAAGAACAACTGAAAATACAACTTTTCTGATTGTGAATTAGACTCAGACACAAAGCTTCAGTTTTGTAAGGGAATATGTGTTTAATCCACACTTTTTTGCTCTGGAAATAAAACCAGATTTTTAGACCTTTGCTGTGTTTTGTCCCTGGGTTGACTTAAGGTTATATTTTGCACCATTTCTTCATGATACAAGTATAGGGTGAAAAACAGGGCCTTCAAAATATCAGCCAACAGGACAGTTGGCAAATGTGCCTAAAACCAGATTTAGCGAGTCCTGCTTTTTATTATTTTTTAATGTAATTACACCTTTCAAAAGACTTCAAACTTGCAAAAATCCAAGCAATTGATTCAGTTTTCTTTTCTTGGAAATTCTTTGGTTTTCTTTGCATTCTTTGACTTTGTGCATTAATCTAATATTCCTAAGTAATTTAGTTTAATTTATTCCTCCATTTCCTTAGCTGCTTTGATAACTGGCTTTAATGTACATTGCCATTATAAAACAATGCATTGTTTTTACCTTTGCTTCAATTTGTTTAGTATCTTGGTTTTGGAACAAAAATTTGATTTTGCTCTTCCCATCATCTGAAGAACCTTTGAGCTGGGAAAACTTGTACCTCCAAAGTATGGCCTAGATGAAAAAAAAAGAAACATTAAAAAACCATACACAAGCAAGTCAGTGTAGTTATCATTGAAAATTGTATTAGAAATAGCTGATCTCCTTCCAAGGGAATTTTTAACCCCTCTATGGTACATAATTAAATCAATTTAGTGTTATGTGGTCTGATGTCCCTTTGATCATATGGATGTAATATATTTTGGGAGTGTCTGATTCTGATCAGTCAGACTACATTTGTGAAATTCACTCTGAAATTCCTTTATCTATATTTAATCCTGATTAAACAAAAAAAAGAGAGGGTTAGTAAATTCATTGTCATGCCAAAACCCAAAGGTTTTTTCCACTGGTAATCTGTGGATTCCCTACTCCATCTGAAGTGACAACCTGTCATAGAAGTCCTCTCTTTTTACTTCCACATTAAAAAAATCCAGTTGTATTAACATAAAGGGCATATCGAATTAAAAACAAATATCTATTTCTAAACGATAAAATAACAGAAGGAAACCCTATAATGATAACTTAAGTTTACTCATGAGAGCTTTAATCAGGAATTTGAGCAGATCATTAATTCTAAGCATATCAGTGGCCTTTCAAGTACTTATATTATGAATGCCATTGTGTCTTGTTGAAAAAAAGACAGATTGCTCTACAGAATAATCATGCCATTAATAAAATTTACAGCTGGCTAGAAAAACTGTTTGGTTTGGTTTTTTTTTTTAATGTCTAATGTGAATTTATGTAAAAAACCCCCATACATTTCAAACGACTTTGCCTAAAAGTGGAAAAGACATATTTTTTATTGTCTTTTTGGCCTCATTTAAAGATACCCCACACACACACACTCCAGATATTTTGAAGCACTAACTAACATCTTTTTGTTGTGATTTCAGTAGTATTTCACATAATTATAAGGTCATCCTCACTCACATTGTGCTGTTATTTTGAGGAGACGTTAATGTCACATGCATTGGACAACACAGAAACTTAAGGCAAGAAGCGCTGTTCCATTTTCTTTTGTCTAAGGGTTTGTAAATGACTTCTCAGTGGCGTAGCATGACACTTCCACCTGTGCCCTTTGTCTGTATCTACTTGAAATTAAACAGAATATGAGGGAGGTCAAATTTTTAACTGTTCTAAATCTATGCAGGTCCATTTGCTTCAGGATGTGTTGATCCCTTTATGTTAATGACTGGCAAAAATCTCTAACCTGCACCAAGTTAAATAAAGTTAGCTGTGTTTGTCATAGTAACTTGTAGAGGAAAAAAAACCTGAAGGACAGTAACTTAACTGTGCACAGTACACAAAGCAAGTGCCAGAATTATTTTCCCCCAAATTCTCTCTCTCTATTTGTCCCCTCCAGATAAAAAAACCCTAATCTTAGTGCCACTTTCATTCTCTGTGTGTATGTGACAGGTGAGCTCCCACCTACCATAAACAGAGTTAAGGACATTCTGCTTCAGATAAACTAGAGGAATTTGGCAATTTATGTGAAATTATATCATATTTGTTTCAAATGCTGTCATCCTGAGCCCACCAATCTGTGCTACATAAAATAGAATAGTTTCCCTCATCTCTAAGTGTGTGCAATTCCTTTCACCTTGCTTGATCAATGATGTTTACTTATGTCCTGTAGAGAGTCAGTTAAAAACCAAACCAAAACAACCCAGTATACCATTCTGGTGGCCATACTTTCTACCTACATTGTAAATGCCTTTTTTTCACAGACCTATGTAACTCATCAGATCTTGTCAGAAGATCAAGACCATTGCCTTTCTGCAGGAACAGCCAATCTATTTAAGCATGTCATTTCCTAGATGAGAAATGTAAAGGACATTGATAGTCTCTTTATCTCAGGAGAACAACAATCAAAGAAATAAGCTATCATCTTTTTCTTCTCTGATGATGTATGGGGAGGCCAGGAGAGAGATGCAGTAGTGACAAGGACCCTTAGATGGGCAGGCAAAATCCCAGGGTACCTGGCCTCATTCCCGATCAGATTAAGTTTGGCTGAAGACGAAGGATGTACAGAACTACAGTACTTCAGCATTTCCCATGCAGTTTTGTCACTTACTTCATTCCCACTCAGAGGAAAGAGAATGACAGTCTCACCAAACCACAGGCATGATTCAAGAACACACTTCAGTTTATATATAACATTGGGTTTGGAAACCCCTGCTTAGCAATGGCTCTTACTCAAGTACATTGCAAAATCAGGTCTACAGCATGGAGGGGAAGAAATCCTTCCTGAGACTAATTCCAAGAAGACTGCATTTCTTCCATCAGGATATCAAAACAGGTTCCTAGAACTGATGGTTCAACAGCATACTTCACAAAGACTATTAAACACTCTTTGTCTAGAGTGTAATGAATAAAAATGCCATTCACAATGCATGAAGTGATTCCCAAATGAAAGAACCATCTGTTTCTTTAGAGTGATCTTCAACAAATGGCACACATTTTTTCCCAAAGATGTCCACATGAAGGAGGGTTCTTTTTGCAAAAATAAGTGTGGGGAAATATTGTGAGTTTTAAGTTATTAAGTCAGGAATACAAAGTATTTCAAACATTCAAGCTAGTCATCCTGATTACATCTTTTGTTCTAGAGAATTTCTGAGTAACAGTTCCTTCATCTTGGTTTGAACTTGTTTTGAATACTGGTTCACTCTGATACACTCTGGATGTGTCTACACCTGAGTATACCACACTACATTAGAGGTGTAACAACTAGCTTTAGATGTTGGAATTCTAGACAGCTAAAATCGGATGAATTATTTAAGCACATACCCACTAAGACCCATTTAATTCCTTTTCTCCTACCAAAGAAGCTGAAGGGCTGCCCTGTGTAGCCAGAACTGCACATTTTGCATGTGTAGCAGATATACAAGATGATGCAGAATGCTGTGACCAGCAGTCAGATCACTCTCTTAAAATACAGCATCTTTGGGATCCCTGGGTTACCTCCTCTTGTGGTTTCATATGTTCTGGGTGGGTTTTGTTTTTTTGGTTTTTTTTCATTTTTGTTACTGCAAAATGCATAAGCAGTGAACAGGGGCCAGACCTATCCTTTTCCAGTGACTACCTCATAGTGCCAAAATAGAAAGGAGAAGCAAGACCTGTTCACCTAAGCACCCAGTTTCATAGAGATGTGTAGCTACAGCAGTGACATAAAAACATGAGAGAGAGAGTTTCACATGTTGTTATCTTTCATGTTCATATGGGCTGACTTCAGTGTCACACTGCTTGTGGTGGTGACTGTTCTGAATTCTAATTTTAATGGCTAATTCTCCTGTGTTAGGAATAGGTACCCTTGGGGATACCGATCTATACCACTGTCAAAGCCAAGTGAATTATTTTTTCATGTTTTTGAACATTCCTCAGAACCATCTGTTGGATGCTTGCTTCAGACAGTTAACATAATTTTGTACAAATATATATATATTTATGTAAAACATGCTGGCTTTTTCACAAATTGCCAAAAAACTAAACATGTGTCATATGAATTATTCCTAAATCAGTTTTTATGAATTATAAAATATAAGCAGAAGCACTTACTGGTTTGAAGGTGCAGTGTTACTAAGCTCAACGCTGTACAATACATTCTGATAGGGCTTCTTTTAGTTAATAAAAGCATCCTGTTCTCTTCAAGTGCTTTCCTTGTATAATCCTCAATAACTGTGCGTAACCTGCATTACTGAGAATATTTTGCAGGACTATATATAGCATATTTAGGAAGCAGTAAATTTTCATTTACCCTAAAATAGATTTGACAGGTAGACCAGGCTGCAATTCCTTTTAAAGCACAAATTGCAACTAAATTAAAAAAGATTCTTTGGTAGATGCTGGCATCAGCTACTTGTGAGGACCCTGAGACACTTCTCAAGTTGAGGCACACATCTTATCATGCCTTGATGGAAGACCAAGATGAGAACTCAGTATGCATTGTTTATTGCCTTTAAAAGGGAACTCTCAATCCATGAGAAGAGACAGAACTTGTGAATAACAGCAAGCAGTCCAATTTAGAAACTGGGGACGAAGGTAATAGCACATACTGAAAATATCACCAACTTCACAATTTGAATGCATCCAGTGTGGTCATGAAAAATCCGACATAGTTAATCTATGTTTTGAGAAATGCACTGTAAGAAGACAATCTCATTGAACAAATACTGTATGTATCATGCATAACATTGAAAACAACCAATAAGATATAAATCCTTTTCCCAATTATTATCCGTAGATTGCTTAGGCTGCTTTTTACATTTTATACCATTTAATAAAATTAACTTCAAAGAATACTAGAATGCAATGCAAACAAATAAACAGTGCAGACAAGCTGACAAATTAGATTTAAGACTTCTCTTGAGATGTTATTAAATTATTGTAATAAGAAATCATCAAAAAGTGAAATCCTGTCTTCACTGAAATTAATAGGATTTTTTTTTCCTTTGACATATCTGGGACCAAGATTCTCCACCAATACTTTTTAATGAGAAATACTTTATTTATAAGTAATCATCTAGGACTCATTTGTTCGAGTCTTTGTAACCAAATTATTGCCTATTATCTTCTGCTAGTGTTATTTTGCCATAATTACCCAAGGATGCTCTCTGCCTGCATATTTTTATTTAATAAATGGGACATAAATGCAGTACATAAATGGCACCTGGAATAAAAGCTACTGACTTCAGTACCTGTAATACTTAGCTGATGCTCCCCAAAGTCACACAAATGAAGAAAATCATATTGCTTCTATTCTTAGCACTAGTGCTAAATCTAGAACACATATTCAGCAAGGGATCTTAGAAAATATTTTCACAATCATATCAGATGTCATTTTGCTACTCATTCCCATCATTTCAGAATCCTGGACTAAACTACATACAATTTTGATGAGATGTCATAAAAAAAAATCACTTTCTATGTACATAATAGTATCAGAAAAGTGGGAATGCATCATAATTAGTTTAGGGTATGATCGGGAGTGTTGGTTAGGGGTTTTTGTTTGTTTTGGG